AATAAGCCCATTTTCAGTCAGGCACAGTCACATACGCCTGTGGTCACAACATTCAGGAGGCTGAGGCAGGTTTGAGATCAAGAATTCAAGACCAGCCTAGGCAAATAGAGATTTGCCTTGAATCACATCAAACTTAAAAGCCACTTATAAAGTATCTTTCCTTCTTAATTTGATAATCCCCTACCAATTTAATGTACATTTTTTTTGAGGCAGTCTCATTCTGTAATCAAGGCTTTGCTTGGATGGAGCTCATGTCAATCCTCCTGCCTGAACCTTCTGAAATCTGGGATTAGAGGCATGAGTCACCATAGCCCTCAGATGAACTCTTTGCAATATGGTAAATTACATTGTTTTCTTTACTGGCCCAGGAGAAAAGATACTGATAATTAAGTTCATATTTTTTTTTAAAAAAATATGACATGTAGTCAAGACAAAAGCACATATAGTAATGGGGAAATTTTATTTTCAAATTTAAAAATTAATGAAAACACTTCAGAAGCCCCAAGCAGGCACTTCTCTCAGCTTCTCCAGTACACACTTCCAAGCTTGTCTGTTTGCTTTGGCACTGTCACACCATGTAGAGATATTTGTCTCCACCGCTTGGCAGATTTGGGGTAATGTAGAACCCACACTTAAGGCTTGGCACAGAATCTCTCACACACTCTTCATTTCCCATGTGCCTGACTCTGGCAGCTGCTCCTGTATAAATGTTTGGAGGAAGGTGATGATGTGAACCCAGAGATGCTGAGAACAGTTTGGAACCAAAATGCCAGGCACACCAGCACAACAGAGGCCCAGTTGCTTTCTAGGGGAGTTTGTCTCACTTCCCTTGACTTGTGTCCACATCCAGAAATCTGGAAACCTCACAGTTTCTAAGCATCCTGTTCCAGTAAGTGCAAGTTGCCATTAGTTTGATCAGTTTGAAAAGGTTGCTTTAATAATATGGAGAAATGGGGCTGGGGATTTAGCTCAATTAACAGAGTGTTTGCCTAGTATGCAGGAGACCTGGAGTTTGGTTTATCAGTGCTGCATGTCCTGGGCATGCTGGGTCACATGTGTAATTACAGGAGTTGCGAGGTAGAGGCAGGAGGATCAGAGGCTCAAGGTCTTACAGTCTGGACTATGTGAACATTGCCTCAGGAAAGTGGAAAGGCAATATGGTCCACAAAGGTTCTAATGCCACTGTGCTGATATTTGCATTAAATGAGCTAAGGATGAAAGAGCAAGCAATAGTGACCAAGTATCAGGTGCCTATGGAGAGCCTGCTCCAAGGCCACCACCAGGGTAAGGCAAGAAAATCCACAACAGCGGTGAGTGCTAGACCTTTTCTATCTGAGGGTGTTTAGAAATGTTTCTGTCTATCTGACTGGTATAATGAGAAAACACACATGCTTTCTGATGGTGAAGACCATACATAAAAAGCTGCATCACACTTAACAGTAAAAGACAATACTTCCTCTCTAAAAGGAACAAGCCAAAGATAGCCACACTGACCACTCCTTCACTGCAATACTGGAAATTTTAGCCCCCAAAATAAGAAAAGCACACAGACTGGAAAGGAAAAATGAAACAATGAATGACATTGTTATCTGCATAGGAAATCACAAAGAATTCACAAGAGTGCAACTGACTAGTTGAGTGGTAATTACACGTATATTTTATAAGAAATTACCAAACCATTTTGTATCTACAGAAATATACTTGATTCTTGTGAATTCTTTGTTTTTCTTATTTCAGAAAGGAAAGCATGCTTATAAAGGTACAGAGGAAAAGGACAAGTTATGCTTTTTGAATAATTCAGAAAGGGGGTTTACTTACAACCCTGCAAACTACTGAACTAGGTGCAGGGGTTCTGGGAAGAAAATGTTCACTGATGCCCATCTCTTAGGATGGTTTAAGGTAGTCCACCTTCCTAGGAGTCTTCCCTCAACCAAAGTAATTGAACTGGCATGTTATGTCTCCACCCAGGCAAAGACTCCACTCCATTGACCAGGAGTCTTTTCTACTCTAACAGGGGCCTGGTATTCTTTTCATGTATACCTAGATTTCACTTGCTAAGGTTTTGTTCAAGATTTTTTTTTTTTTGGGTTGATTTTTTCGAGACAGGGTTTCTCTGTGTAGCTTTGCGCCTTTCCTGGAGCTCACTTGGTAGCCCAGGCTGGCCTCGAACTCACAGAGATCCGTCTGGCTCTGCCTCTCGAGTGCTGGGATTAAAGGCATGCGCCACCACCGCCCGGCCCTTGTTCAAGATTTTTAAGCCTGGTTTTCAAAGACAGATCTCCTGAATCTAGCTACATGGCTGTATACTAATAAGCCTACCATGTGATTTGATTTGTTCTGTCTGTCTGTTCTTGGTATTGTCTTAGTTAAGGTTTCTACTGCTGTGAAAAGACACCATGACCATGGCAGCTATTATAAAGAAAACATTTAACTGAGGGGGCTCACTTACAGTTTCAGTGGTTCAGTCCATTATCATCATGGCAAGGAGCATGGCAGCAGGCAAGCAGATTTGGTACTAGAGAAATAGCTGGGAATCCTACATCTTATATGCAACAGAAAGTTGACCGAGACACTGGGTGGTATCCTGAGCACAGGAAACCTCAAAGTCCACCCCCACAGTGACATACTTTCTCCCAAAAAGGCCATATCAACTCCAACAAAGCTATACCTAATAGTGCCACTCCCTATGAGATTTTGGGGGCCAATTACATTCAAACTACCACAGGTATCAAAGATATATTGGTCTTATATAAGTTGAGAAGTATTCTTTTAGAAGAGATTGAAAAAATAATAAAGGGAGATAATATCAACTAAACCTTCCCACCTTCCACAGAAACTCATTTAACAAGTAGACTTCACCTATATATAATATATAAAACTAATAATTTTATAAGAAGATATAACTGTAAGCAAGGGCACAGTGAAACCACAGAACTTAAATTCTACATGGATAGAAAGGTTTATTGGGGATATCTCCTGAATAGCCTAGGCTACACAGAGAAACTTTGTTTTGGGGAAAAAAAAAAAAAAAAACCAAAAATAAAATAAAAAGAGAAAAGGAGCCAGTGTGCTCAACAATTTGCTTCACTAGTAAAAGGAGACTTAACAATTTCAGCAGTAACTTAGAGACAAAGGTTCTAAGAGAAAGAAAAACAAACAAACAAACAAACAACAACACAAAACTAATGAAACTGATGAGAACCTGAGGTAGAAGCTGGTCAGGTAGAGCAGGGATCCCAAGTAGCAACTTGGAGTCTTTGTCAAAGGCCAGGAATGCTCAAAGGGAGTTCTGGTCCTTGGTTCTTTGTTGTCTCCTAACCCTGCCCAGATGCTAAAAGTGAGGATGTAACAACTCAGGATATCCCGACACCTTGTGTGTGGGCCAAGTGGATGAACAGACTACCTCTCCCTGCCTCGCCCTAGTGTCTGCCACCAGCCCTCTAAAAAGACCCCAGACTACTAGCTCGATGGTACCTTATTTCCTGGAACCCACTCTTACTAGACAGGAGCTCGGCTTTCTCTGAGTTCCCATCTATGAATCAGTAAGAAACTTCTAACTCCCCATCTGTGTTCTGTGAACTTCATTCTTTGAATTCACCAGACTATAACTTGGAAGTCACTGATTCAGTCAGAGTTTTATGTGAACCTGAGTATCTGGCATCCCAGCCCTTGAGAGGCCTACTTGAAGCAAGAAGTAAGTTCCTGTGGACTCAAAAGATAACTCATTTTTCTGGTATCATAATCCACTAAAGAGTTGAGTTTCTCAGGAACCCTTAAATCAAGGAGTAGTTCTGGCCTGTAATCTCATAACTCAGAGTAAGAGGAAGATGTGAGCTTAAAGCCAGTCTGAGTTACATAGCAAGACCCTGTCTCAAACCAAGGGCTGGGATATGGCTTGGTGGGAAAATACTAACTAGCCTAGTGCATATGGGCTAGGTTTTATTCCTAGTACTGAAAAAAAAAAATCAAACCAATTAAATTTGAATCTCTACTTGATCTGAATTAAAGGTAACAAAAATTTCCTTGAAATAAGAAGTGTCTGTAAGGGCAGTGGTGGTACACGCCTTTAATCCCAGCACTGGGAAGCAGAGGCAGGTGGATCTCTGAGTTTGAGGCCAGCATGGTCTACAGAGAGACTTCCAGGACAGCCAGGGGCTACACAGAGAAATCTTGTCTCAAACACTGGTGGGGTAGGGAGAAGGTGTCTGTAAATTATACTCATAATCATCCTATGATGTCATTCACAGTGATTGGTCAGTGTTGGAGAATTCAGACATATCCCAGGAGCATTACCTGGATGAACAGCCCAAGAGGGGTGCTTTATAACAAAGACAGTCTTGTGTAGAGGCTCTATTGTTCTTTATTATAATGAACAATTTATGTAACAGGTGCTATTTTTTTCCTTCCTCTTTCAGAAACTTTAAACTGCCAGGATTTTGATATTGCTCTGAGATTTGCATCTTTAAAAAACATGCTTTCTTGGTAAACTTAGGTTTTTACACTAAAGATGGCAACATTAACATTAAACATAAACCCAGAAAATATATACTGCCTTTCAGAAGGGGCTGTACCTTTAATTGCTACAGTCCATTTTGGCTTTATTTAACTTAGACGAAGCACATTCAGTTTTCCTGTGAGTGGTCAGTTAATAGTTCTTACAATCTATACCAGATGGCCTTTAATCTTACAAAGAATTGGAGTTTCCTTTATACCAGCATACCCACCCCTCCAAAACATTCGAAAAATCTAAAGGACAGGTGGATTTTTTGTTGTGTGTGGTTGCTATAAATAGAAAAATGACTGCAGAGTCTATGAACATTTCAAATGTATATGGGTAATGTAAAAATGAAACTGCCTTTCCAAGGAACTGTCTTCTTAAACAGTTAAAGTCATACTTTTAGGTATTTTTTTTCCAGAATAGTCGCCTGAAGTGCATATAATGAAACAAACCAACAGTATACAAACTAGTAAAAATATAAACTAGTAAAAACACAAACCAGTAAAAACATCTTGCACTTTTATTTGTAGGTTAGTTCCACATGCAAATTACTAAGCATGGAAAACAAGTTCACAGCTTCCATCCTTTTTGATAGAGAAGTAAGTTATCTCAATAGCTACTTAGATCTGCCTCCTGCCTTCAGAGAGATTAAGGTGCTACATATATATATATATGTATATACATATGTAATATAGATTAAGGTGCTACATATATATGTATTTTTTAAATTTATTTTTAATCTTTACACAGAAAAATGGACACCATTTTTTACATATATTGTAAGTAGTCGTCTAGAAAGCTAAATTAGAGTAACACTGTACTTGTAGGAAATGAACTTCATACAATATAAAAATCTTATAAATTCTATAATTCACATAATTATGACAAATCTGTGGAAATACACAGTATAAAATGTGAATATATGAATTATTTACAAGTAGAACAAGTATGTAAGGGGAATATTTTTTTTAAAAAATTTATGTGTGTGACTATTTTGCCTGCATTTATGTTTGTGTAGGCATTATGGGCACACAATGCTCACAGAGGCCACGAGAGGCACTGGATCTCCTGGAACTAGAATTACATACGGTTGTGACCCGTCATGTGGGTGCTGGGAAGCAAACTCAGATGCTCTGCAAAAGCACCTTTGTTCTTTACTGTTGAGCTGTCTCTCTAGTCCCAGTGAAGAACAACTTCACGATGGTCAGAAAAGGATATTTTTTCATACTCTAGAAAGGTGGCTTCATCCCCATTATCCCTTATTCTATTTCTGTGTACTTGAGACCACAGAGACAGTACCCAGTTATTTGACTCTCTGTTTTTTTCTGGCTTGGAATTGCTCTGTTTTGTTTTTCACGGATTTAATCAGCGAAGACAAGGCAGGATCTATGGGCCGCTTCTGGGTCGGCTTTCCTGTGTCCTGCTGAGCTCGCTCTACTGCTTGAGTAAGTAGTTCTTCTTTGCGTTCTCGCTGCCGGGCTTTCTCCTCAAGAATTTTTTCCATAGCTTTTGTTTTCTTGAAATTAGGATCAGAGGGATCCAAATTGAACAAGTGGGAAGTGTACATTGCTTGAAACCGTGTGTCGCTAACATTTACCTGCAAATCCAAAAGGAACAAATAGGTAAATAAAGGCAAAGAGCTGCTGGTTATTAGTACACAAGTGTGCACACAGTGCAATGAGACATTAGAACCATTTCTACAATTTCAATGAGTTTTTTACTTTGTTATTTGAGACAAATCTGTCTTTTAATTCTAGGCTGGACTGGAACTTGCTGCTTTTGAACACAGGATCCTCCCGGCCTTGGCCTCCTGAGAGCTGAGATTACAGGAATGTGCCACCATGTCCAGGGTAGACTCAATGGAATCTTAAGACCTGCGCTTCAACCACAATGTGCAAGGTTTGCTGTTCTCTTCCCCCAAACCAATCTATTTGAAAGAGGAGAATAGTGGCCCATGTGTATAGTGGTCTGTAACTTGGGATGATTACTTTGACTGACTAGAGAAGAAGTTCCCAAGGCTTCCGCTACTTGCTTAGCATAAGACTGACTTCTGTCCATCATAAGTCAATTGGGACACTGTCTAACTGCCCAAGTTTAAGCAGTCACTGCACTCTGTGTAATTTTAAGAAATTTTAAATTTGGTATCAAGAAAAAGTAGCTACTAGCTAAACCAGGTAGCATGGGGCAGTAATCCCAGCTACTCAGGAGGCTGACTCTGAAGGATTTCAAATTCAAGGCCACCTTGGGCAGCTGTTTCAAAATATAATGCAAAATGGTAGTTGCAGAGGCTGCTCAATGGTAGAGAGCTTGCCTAAACCTGTGTAAAGTGCCAGGTTCAATCACCCTGGAAACATGTGGGGGTGGAAAAGGGGGAGCAAAGAAATCCACCCTCCAGTCCAAGATTTGGTAAGATACAAACCCCAAACTATCCTCTATGTTTCTACAGAAAGCATTATGGTTCTACCTTGAAAAGTGTACCCTTCAATCCAGCCAGGCTTAGTAATGAACAACAAAGAAAAACCTGAGTCTACTGGAGACAGATCATAGCTTTACTTAGTTACAGTGATGGCAACAGACAGGATACCAAGAACAACAAAGGAAATCTCATGAAAATTCTGTGTGCGTGCATGTGTACAGGTGCCTGTGCCTGCATGTAGAGACTAGAGGTTGATGACAGGTCTCTTCCTTTATTGCTCTCTACCTTATATTTTGAGACAGTTTCTTTCATGGAAGCTGGAGTGTGGTGATATTTTATTTGTATGTTAATAAATAAAGTTTGGATGGAGATCAGAGGACAAAGCAAGCCATAAACACAAAAGTCAGGCAGTGGTAGCACACATCCTTCTGATCACTTGGCAGGCAGGGTCTGTGTGTTCAAGGACACACTAGGGAACAGCCAAGCATGGTGACACACGCCTTTAATCCCAGTACCAACCACAGGGACCTGGAGGTCTGTACACACAGGCAAGGAAGTGAGGTAGCTGGGCTAAGAGCCAATGAGAGGGCAGAACAGCAAGGCAATAAAGGTGCATATTAGACAGGAAGCGGTCCTTTTGGTGGCTGTAGAGCTGGAGAGGTAAGGTCGGTGGCTCTCACTATTTCCCTGATCTCTAAGGCTTTCACCCCTATATTTGGCTCCGTGTTTCTTATTTAATAAGACCGCTTAGAAATTTTTCTATACTGGAGCTTCATCACCTGGGGAGGCTGGCTGTCAGCAGGCCCCTGGGATTGGCTTGTCTCCATCCTCCACAGCCCTGCCTGGGGTTATAATCATATGCTACTGCTCTTAGCTTTTATGTGGGTGCTGGGATCCAAACTCAGGTCTCATGATTGTTCAGCAAGTTCTTTACCCACTGATCCATCTCCACAGTCCTCAGGAAAAAAAAGTTATTTGTGTGTTGTGTAGAGGTTAGAGGACAACATGAGGGTGTCAGTTCTCCCACTATGTGGAATACAGGGACTGAACTCAGGTTCTAAGTCTTAGTGGCAAGTGCTACTACCTGCTGGGCTGTATCACAGCTCCATAAAAAATATTTTAAGCATGGTTATTTATGTGTGAAGGTAGAGCTCATAATTAGAAATTATTCTTTGCTTTTTATTAGAAAACCAATTAATCAGAAACTTCATAAGAATAGAAGCATATATGAAAAGGTGGAGCAATAGGGGCCTTGTAATCCTTCTCCATGCTATGAAGAAGTCTATGTCCTTCCCTCCACTTTGACCAAATTCAAAACTCACCCATCTTTTCTTCCAAGTTCACTAATGGAAACTGTTAAGTAATTCCTAGTGGATATTTTAAAGCTTTCTGTGGAGGGCTCAAACTCATGTGTATGGCCATTAGGACCACTCACTCACCGTAACAAGAAAACTGAAGAGGACAGGCAATGTGATATGCAGAAATGAAAAAAGCATTGCTCACCATGTTGGCTACTGTACACAGTGAGAGTGAACCCACTGTCATGTGACCCCTCCATGCTTAGCTGACCTCTCATAGCATGAACATCACGGCTTCTGGTTTTAACATTTAAAGGCCACAGATTTTTGTTCTAACACAGCTACCAAATTAAAGGTAACTATCTCACCTAGAGCTCAAACAGTGATGTGCTCCACTCTGGGATGAACTGTGTTAGATTAAAGGACAGTTGCTTTGTCAACATTATGGGCCCTTGAGAAGGGCTTTTCAAGGGTAAGTTCATGCTTCATTTCTATATCCAGAGCTGACTTTTTTTTTCTTTTGTTTTTTTTTTTTGAGACAGGGTTTCTCTGTGTAGTTTTGGTGCCTGTCCTGGATCTCACTGTGTAGACCAGGCTGGCCTCGAACTTACAGAGATCCGCCTGGCTCTGCCTCCCGAGTGCTGGGATTAAAGGCGTGTGCCACCACGCCTGGCCAGACTTTATATTGAACTCCACCTTCAAGAAGCTAATAATGACTTGTGCTGCCGTTACCTCAAAGTCATCCTCAACTAACTCCTTCTTTTTCATAAGCTGTTTCTTCTTCTTTTTACTCAGATTCTGGTGCTCCACAATCTTGTCATAGTTGAAGTGTTTCTTGCTGTCCTCTTCCTCATCCATTACAAGCAAGGCCATTTCCGCCTATGGAGAGAAAAACGAACAAACAAAACCTGAAATGTACAATGGAGTTTTCCTGCACTGCTACTCTGAGAATTGCTTATACTCAATGACTGGAGTAGAAAGAGGCCCAAGATACAGTACAGCTTCAGTCCATTCCACACTGTGATGTGAGGATCAGCTACAGGGGAGGAGGGAAGTAGCAGTCTTTATGCAAAGGACAGACTTCCATTCCTGTAGTCATCAGATTAGCAGGCAAAGGAACAGAGCCGGGTCTATCAAATACATTTCATCTTCACCTTGTTCTTTTTAAGTAATGACAGGAAATTTACTTTGTGATTCAAATTATAGTTTCCAGATGTGTACTTTAGCAACTAGGAAAAATCTTTTGCTCTTTTTTTCCTTGCCTCTTTCAATACTGATATACTTTCATGAGCTAGACTCAGCATTTGCTTCAGAGACCAAGCATTCTGTTTCTACTGATTATGAGATTAGAGAGACACCTCAAGAGTCAAATAAAAAGCCACAAGCACACAGGAGCATGCTCCCTGACTCTTACACACAAGAATACTTTAATTTCCTTTCCTTCCATCACTGGCACTTCCATCACATTTGACTTCCTTATAGAGCCACGTCCCATGAACAGATGGATCTTTAAGTAACTTTATGAGTACTTACATGTAATGAATAGAGAATAGAAAAATGCATTAAACTGACCAATTTAGGTGGCCAGTCAAGGCCCACTGCCAGAGCCCAGGGTTATACATAAGCATCACAGCATTTTTAATGAAGATTAAGCATATGTACGTTAAACTTATATTTACTACTAATAAAAGAGAAATTAGCATTTGATGCTGTGGGCTGCAGAAATATGAAGTAGGAATTCAGCTGACAATGGCAAAAGCTAATACCTGGAATAGCAGGGCTCTTCTAGAGGATAAAGTCAAGCCTCAAGGAGTCTTGGTGACATCAGGATTTGAATATATTAGCTGTGTCCTACAATGAATTTCTTGTGTGCTATGTAGCTTTCCCATTTGATTGATCATTCATTGGGCACAATTTTTCCCCTATACAATTTGGGGTATTTGGATAACATCCCACAACTGTGTGCCTTTCTGTAATTCTGTAATCACCATTAGCAAGTATCTGGCCAGGACCATCTCCAGACAAAAGTACTTTATTTCAGATATTTCTCAAACATCCAAGGACAGAATGGAGATACATAAGCACTCTGACCACCTGCTAATTTCCTGAGATAAGGTAAAAAATATCTTACTGAGAAAACTGTCAAGACCAGGGGGATGTTAGGTACAAAGCTTTGTTTCTTGTGTAAATTAAACTTAAACCCTCCTTTCTCCCATAGCCCAAGTCTGCCTTTAATAAAGAACAAAAGGGCTTTTACATACCAGGTACATCAAGCTGTGACACAGGCTATCTAGCTACTGAGTTCACTTCCCCCACCCTGCCAGAAAACGGCACAGCCAAGATTTGGCTGAGACAGATCTGGTTCCAAAGGAAAATAAGGCAGTTTTATCTTACTCATGATTTAGTGACATAAAACTCCTTATACTTTACCTAACCACTTCTAAGAATATAGTTTGAGCACACAAATTCCCCCTTTTGATCTATTAACCAATTAGCTCTTAGTTGACCCTTCCTCCTTTAATCACTCCCTTTTTGGGTTGCAAATGACACTGACAATTACTGCCTTTTGTGTGGATCTTATCACCTCTCTGTTTGATCCTCAAAGAATTCAAGCCATGTGACCTTGCTTTAGCAGAGTATTGCTGACTGCACGGGTATATATATAACTGTAAACCTCAGAGACTTGAGGAGAACTAAGATGGAGAACTGAGATGGGGTAGTACTAAGATAGAACACAAAGAGAACAGCAGAAAAATGTAGAGACTCTGGAAAAAGTCTATGAAGGGCTGGACACCTATAGTCTTTGTTAATTTGACAAGCTATAATAGAAACTGTAATATGGTTGATTCAAATAGAACCAAAGGATGTAAAAATACTATTTTATGTTTCAACAACAGTATTTTCTGTTTCAGTCATCCTAGAGGGTGAGAATATGAATGTCTCTTCTTAGTCACAAAGGTCTTGAGAAACTTTGACTTCATATTAGCTGGAGAGACAGTGTTTGGTTAAATATAACATTTAAAAACTATGTGGCTAAAATACTTACGTATGTTATAATGATACAAAATCCAATGGAAAAATCAGTTTTAAAATTAGACACTAAAAACTCACATGAACCACATCAATTGCACATATTAATCATCAATAAACACTCAACAATGACCACTTTCTACCTTTTGTTTTTCTAGTTCAGTTTTTTCCTCTGAAGATGTGTTGTCTTTTGCAGATTTCGTTGATTTTTTCTTTATACCTGGTACAACAAACCAACAGAGGACAGATAAAATGACAGGATTAACAGCCAAAATCTGTTTATATTCTGAATAAAATGCAAACTATCTAGGAATAATCTTAACAATAAATGTCGAAATTACAGGAAGGAAAAGCACAACCCTGAAAGAAGGCCATGGCTATAAACATAGTACACAAGCCTTCTGGAAGGCAACTAAGCATTGAAAGGAAGGCATTTTTGTTGGTGTGGTGGCATATTTCTCTAATTCTAGCACTCAGCAGAGGAAGAAGGGTTCGGAGTTCTAAGTTTGATATATAGTGAGACCATCTCAAAACCAAAGCAAACAGCAGTATTTAATAAAGAGAATCACTAAACCATGGACTGAACACAATGGCTTAGTCCTTTTGTAGTGAAGGAACACTCCCCTCCCACTCCCCGACACACACACAAATTATTTAAAAGAATGAACAATTTGCTTCATCCTAGAAATAGAGAATCAGGTTATGCACTTATCTGAAAAACAGGGTTTTTTTTTTGTTTTGCTTATATGTTTTTGTTTTTAAATTAAATTTTAAATTAAATAAATTAATTTTTAAATTAATTTATTTTGGTATGTCTGTATGTGCATGTACCATATCAAATGTGAAGGCCAGAGGACAACTTGTGGGAGTTGGTTTTTGTTGGTCTTAATGAAGCAGTGCAATGTTACTCATTAAGTGGCGCTGTTACCATGCGAGAAAAGTCACTATCAGAGTTTTATTAGAAGGGAAGAACAGAAGAGAATGTGATCAGGCTTATGGAAGACATGTTCAGAGGGAAATGGGGGCGGGGGTGGGGAAGAAGAAGGGGACGAGTCTGTGATCTGCTTTTTATGGATTCCCCTGCACATACGCACATGTTTATGGAGCTACGCCACGCATGTATGTAGATTGCGTGATCATGCTGCGTGGAAATTATACGACGATGACATAGGGCCTAAAGCCCTGGAATGACTAAATATCTGAACAGCACATGGGCTGTGGTGGGCCCATGTAATGGAGACCCAAGATGCTAGGAGTACTGATGTATTTAGTAGGGGTACTTTTAATGGGTTTAGGGGGGTGATTCCTGTGGGTGGTCAGCAGCCCCCTAAATCGTGGGTTGGTGCTAGACTAGAGTGATAAAAGGCTCAGAAGAATCCTGCGAAGAAGAATACCTCTGATACAATGGGCGGTCATGTAGTTAGGGGAGTGGCCAGGAATTTCAACAGTTTTCCTTTTCTACCATGTGGGTCCTGGGGATCAAACTCAGGTCTTGGGTGTAGCAGCAAGCACCTTTACATTCTGAGCAATATCTTGCACATATGTGTGCATACCAAGTAATTGCCTGGTACCCATGGAGGTCAGAAGAGGGCATTAGATCCCTTGGAACTGCTACAGTTGAGTTGCCATGGTCTTGGGTGTAGCAGCAAGCACCTTTACATTCTGAGCAATATCTTGCACATATGTGTGCATACCAAGTAATTGCCTGGTACCCATGGAGGTCAGAAGAGGGCATTAGATCCCTTGGAACTGCTACAGTTGAGTTGCCATGTGGGTGTTGAGAACTGAAATGGAATTCTCTGCAAAAGAGTGAGTGCTTTTAGCCACTGAGCCATCTCTCCAGCCCCAAATATGGAATTTAATAATGGCAGTTACCTGTAGGGTTATTCTATGGCCTTCATGAATTAGGAAACTGTAAGAATATAGTTACTGCTTGGCACATAATCCTATAAGATGCCTGCAATTATTTCCATTATTGTCTGATTATACATATATATCTCAAGTTCCTTAGTAATTATGCTGATACTATGACTTTGTTCTTTCTTTTGTGTGTCTGAGTGTGGGGACTTCAAAGGTAGATGGAGTCTGGGTGATAAAGTATGAAAGATTAATCTGAAATCTGTTAGACTGTTACGCATCACTGATTCTCTGTGTACTGTGGGACACTGTCTTCTTTTGATAAACTGCTTTTTCTTCCATTGACTAGAAAGCAATAGACTTGGGCTGGGGATATAGCTCAGTTGGTAGAGCGCTTGCCTAGCAGGCATCAAGTTCTGTATTTGCTCCTCAACACAACATAGAACCAGGCATAGCGGTTCAACTCATGCCTGCAACTGAAGTACTTGGGAAGTGGAGGTAAGAGGTTACCCTTAGCTAACAGGGAGAAAGAAGCCAACTTGAGCTATATGTGACTCTGTCACATATAACAACAAACAAAACAAAAATAACCCAATGGAGTGGTCTGAATGAGAACTGTCCCCACATTCTTAGGCACCTGTATACTTGGTCCTCAGTTGGTGGTGATGTCTGAGGAGGTTTGGTAGGTATGGCATTACACTGAGAACAGGCTTTGAGTGTTTTTAGTCTCCCTCATTTCCAGTACACTTTCTTTGCTTCATGACTGTGCATCAAGATGTGAGCCCTCAGTTTCCGGCCCGGCCACCATCCTCCATTATGGGCTCTAACCTTCTGGAACCATAGACCAAAATAAACTCTTTCTTCCATAAGTTGCCTTGGTTATGGTGTTTTATCACAACAGAAATGTAATTAACACACCCCCAATGTTTTCTACAGTAATAACAAATCAAGATGCTGGAAAGATGGCTCAGTGGTTGAGAGCACTTGTTTCTGAAGGAATCCTGAATTCAGTTCACAGCACCCACATGGTGGCTCACAACCGCCTCTAAGTCCAGTCCTGGGGATCCAAGGAGAGAGTACATCTTTTTAAAAACTTTTTTGTGAGCCAGGCGGTGGTGGCGCACGCCTTTAATCCCAGCACTCGGGAGGCAGAGGCAGGCAGATCTCTGTGAGTTTGAGGCCAGTCTGGACTACAGAGTGAGTTCCAGGAAAGGCGCAAAGCTATACAGAGAAACCCTGTCTCGAAAAACCAAAAAACAAACAAACAAACAAATCACAAAAAAACAAAACCAAAAAAAACCCCAAAACCACTTTTTTGATCCCAGTTACATGCAGAATACTAGGGAAATGAAAAGTTTGTGTTCTGAAACATTATCTCATCAGGGAATCTCACAGCAAGTAGGAAATATCTCTTAAGACAGTCCTGGCCATACATGCCTTAAATGTCAGCATCAGGACATGCCTGGGTACATAGTGAGATCCTGTCTCAAAAAAATAACAAAGCAAAATAAACAAAGCTTTTTTTTTTTTTTTTTAAAATCTCTTGGGAATATAATATTGCAAGAAGTACATAAGGATCAAGTCTATTGATTCACATAAAAACCAAGACTCTAAATCAGATGTGAGGATTTTATAGTTACAGAAAATAAATTGAAATAATTGTTGTATTTGTAGTAATAGACTCTCAAAGTATCTTTTGTTGTTTTGTCAGTTAAAACATTATGAAGAAAACTGATGATGCCCAGAGACATTCCTGTCCACCAATTTCATGGTACAGGCTGAATTTGTTCAAAATATTCCTACCTACTATTTCAACCTTTTAAAAACTTCATTTTATGCTCATGTGCAGCAACACACATATGCACAAGCACGCCACAGTTCAGTTTGTGCACAGTCAGAAGACATTTTTGAGACTGATTCTCTTCATCTGTGGGGTTCTGGGGAAGAAACTCAGGTCCATCAGGTATGTGTGACAAACACTTCTATCTTCAGAACCATTTTGTCAGCTCCAACTTTAACCTTTAAACAAGTTCTATAGTCTTGAACTAACCATGCCTCACAAATTGTTCATTTTTGTCCTTGAACTGACTTCAAACTGGGCATGCTCAGTAGTGTATTCCTTAATTGAGCATGCTTAGGAATATGCCTACCTCTATGAATGTGCACCAATAACTGTTAAAACCAGATAGAAACAATTCTTATGGAGCATTCTGAAATAAACACATTGAAAACAAATTCTACCTATATTACTATTGCTAGAGAAAGCTTATGTGCAATTTCAATGTGCTCTCTTTAAGAAATTGGCTATTCCACACCACCAAACCATTTAGGTTATTCTTTGAATTCTGCTCTGAGTTCTGTAATCTGACCAGATTACATCTGTCAAATGAAGCACTTTGAAAACAAAATAAGGAAACTTTAATGCTTCACAACACTCCATAATAAACTTTGTGTCAGTCAGAGGAAAAGGCTAAAATTCATCATCTTTTAGAAATGACCACACAGGTATGATAAAAAGCAGAATATGCTAGGTTTCCATTTCCCTTTCCAATTCCTAAGAGTCTCATAGCCTATAATAGAATTTATTCAACTTAATCTTTCATCAATAAAATGTCAGTGCTAAAAGTCTATAACAAGCAGGAAATAATTTTAAGCAATTCTGACTTTTCCTGTTGAGGACTGTTCTGGCCCACTGGTCAGGAGGGACAAGAAGCAGGGAAACCTCATAAACTACTTCTCTTTACAATGCCAGCTTGCAGTTCTCCAAGAATAAGCCTTTGGGAGTTCTTGTGCGTGGCATAAAGACGAGGGGAAGGCAAAGCACACAACAGCAACTGGAAATACTTACAATGGTTTCTGCACTGACTTGCCCAAGTATGGCCTCAACCTTACCAAACACATTCATATATATTTAAAAACTATATTCATGCCAGACAAATTTTTCACTGCCTTTGCAAGACAGAGTGCTGGAGTGCAAGTACTATCATGCAACGAGACTATTCTTCATTCTAAATCCCATTATTCTTTTAGAGTCCATCTGGCTAGCTATAAAGAAAATTTCCAGAAAAGAGCCCCCATTAAACTGTTAAACTCACTCTTACGAAGAGTCTCATAATGAGGGAGCTGGAGAGATGGCTTAGCAGTCAAGAGTATTTGTTGCTCTTGTAGAGGACCCAGGTTAGCTTCCCAGCACTACATGGCAGCTCATAACCATCTGGAACTCTAGTTCCAGGTGTTCTGACACCCTCTTGTGGCTTCTTCAGACATGGCATGCATGTGGTGCACATACATGCAAGCCAAATAGTCATACATAACACAAAAATAAGGAAATCTTCTTTTATAAGGGAGTTATTTTATATCTTCTATGTTTTGGGGCATGTTGGCTCTTCTCAACATGATTTATGACTGAAATCTACAAGACAGACTTGTTATAAACCATTAATGGTTTTCAACCCATATCATCTTTTCTTTGGATTCCAACTGAAAAAAAAAAAAAAAAATCACAAATCCAAGCTGGCTTACCTATTTTTTTAACTTCTTCAGCAAAGTAGGGATCATTCATATCAACATCAGAAGGAAGCTCATCTTCACTAGCTTCTTCAGCAAGAGCCTTAAAGAGGAATGTAAAGAGAGTTTCAACATTGTAAGGACCGCAATAAGTGAATATGAAGAAAATAATAAGCATTTTTGAAGTCAAGAAATTCAATATAAAATTAAAAGTCTAAAACAAGTTAATTTATAAAATAATTCTAACTCAGTCTTTTTGTTTTTCCACCAGACATTTAGAAAATAGTCAAGAAAAGCTGATGAGATGCTCAATTGGCAAAATGCTTGCTACGTACAGCATGAGGATCTGAGTTCATATCTCCAGTTCCCATGTTAAAAAAAAAAAAAAGAAGTACATCTGTAGCCCCAGTGCTGGGCAGGACGGACGAGGCCTGGAGTGCTGAAACATCTCTAGAGCCAGTCTAGCTAATAGGTAAGTAAGCTCCAAGTTCAGTAAGAGATCAGATCTCAAACAAACTCAGGCAAACAAAGAAACTACAGCCCCCAAAGGTGCAGAGCAGTCTGCACATGCACCCACACACATATGTGCACACACCCAAGAATATGTTCACTTATGCATGGAAAATAATAACAGGAAACTACGATTTTTGTAAGAGAGTATTATCAGATATGTGGTCCCCGTCCTTAGAAAGTAATGAGACATACTGTGCTGTTCAGTTTTTGTAAACTTGACAGAAACTTGAATCACTTGGGAAGAAGGAATCACAACTGAAGAACTGCCTCCATTAGATTGGCCTGTGGGCATGTCTGTGGGGGCACTTTTTAAACTGCTAACTGATGAAGTAGAGTGTTGCTTGAATGCTAAATGGTCTTATTAATATAAAACCCTGAGCCAGATATTGGGGTAAGAGCTGAAAGATCAGAGAAGCAGAGCAAGCCACAGCCAACCTCACCTCACCAACTCCTCGGCCAATCCTGTTCCCATGAATCTTCAGACTGAAAGCCTCTGAGTCCTCACCGGAAAGGCCTCAGCCAAAACAAGTCTTTAGTTCCTGTCTCCTCACGCCTTATATACCTTTCTCCACCCACTCATATCACTTCCTGGGATTAAAGGCATGTGTGCTTCCCAGTACTGGGAATAAAGGTGTGTGCCACCACTGCCTGACCTCTATGTCTAATCTAGTGGCTGGCTCTGTCCTCTGATCCTCAGGCAAACTTTATTAGGGTACACAATATATCACTACAGTAGGGCCTAGTCTACTGTGGGTGGTGCCATCTTTAGTCCTGGGCTGCATAAAGAATGTAGCTGAGAAAGCCAGAGGAAGCATGCCAGAAAGCAGTGTCCTGCTTTAGTTCCTTCCCCAATATCCTTCCCCAGAAACAGCCTATTACCTGGTCGTATAAGATGAAATAAACCCTTTCCTTCACCAAGTTGTTCTGGTAAGAATATTTTATCATAGCAAAGGAAACTAAACTAAGATGCATACATAGACATTTATAAAATAATACTTCAATTGAATTCAATATTCAACTGACATAAGAGTTATAAAGGGATATAGATACTCACAGGAGAACATTGTTGGTTATTCAGGAAAGAGAATGGCTTGATATTTGATACAACTAAAAAACGGCAGTGATTATGAATAACAAAGTCAACACTATAGGTTATCTCAAACATTTAGAACAATCTATTTGGTTAAAGAGGAAATGATTTCTACTACAAAATTTTAAAACATATAAATTAATGCTCTGTTCTTATTTTCAGTTTAAAAAATGACCTTGGGGAGGAGATGGCTCAGAAGTTAAAAGCAACCACTACTTTATCATAAAAAGACCAGGACCCATGTCAGATGGCTCACAACCACCTTAACTCCAGCTTCAAAGGATCCAACACCCAATTATGGCTTCTAAGGGCCTATTTGGGCATCTACATGTACACATATATGCATATACACTTACACAGACAAACACATACAAAATTTAAAAACAATTTTTTTTAAAGGCCAGGCATGGTGGGACACACCTTTAATTCCAGTACTGAGGAAGCAGAGGCAGATGTGAGTTTGAGGCCAGCCTGGTCTACACAACAAGTTCCAGGTAAGCTAAGGCTACCTAGTAAGACGATTTCCAAAAGAAAATAAAACAAAAACAAACACCTTGTTTTATCTGTGGTCTACCATTGTAAACTGTCTATTTTAAATAATTTTGAAAGCTAAAATTTCCCTGATACAATTTGAACAGACTGTCTATACTGTATTGGTCTATTTAACTAACAAATAAGACCATAAAGTAAACTGAGATAAGACTAATCAAACTGGGTTTATTTCTAAGAGTCTAAAACATCCCTGTCATTTTAATAAATATACTTAGAATATATTCATCCTGGATGCAAAATGATATGATCCATTAAGCTTTAAAGGCACCAAGAAATCAGAAGGCATCTGATGCTATCATCAAGTCTGGTGCAGAAGACCAAGTCTTGAAGACACTGATTGCTTACTGTATGTATTTTACATGTTAACAAATCCAGATCTTCTCTTGGCTGCTCTTCCTCCCTCTGGCACTTGCCAGATTTGGGAGCCTTCATTTAGAGGGACCCTTTAGCCAAGCCCAGGTGGTGAGACACGAGTACATGGTACAATTCCTCCTAACTTCGGTCCTGAGGCTGCTTGTGTCAGATCTAGATCCAGTCCAGCTAGCCCTGGACATCATGTGCTCTGGCTCAGCCTGGTGAACCCTACCTGACCCCACCATGACTGCACCCTCCCTAATTCCCAGGCTTACCCACAATTACAGACCCACTCATTCCTGTTCTAGCCTCCAGGCATCACATCAGTCTGCTGTGTTCGCATCAGATCCATGACCAACACAAGAAGCCCACACTTCCAGATTTCATTGCACAAAAACTATGAAAGGTCAAGACAGTATGTCCTCCCAAACCCACCAAGTTCTATAGCAATGGTCTCCAGTGAGCATTACCAAGATGAGCTCCAGGACACAGAACTGAACAATCATAAAACTAATCAAAGAACTTGGAGTTTAAAGACACAATCGAATAGCTCAATGAACTCAAGGAGAACAAAACACCTGAGTGGTGCCCAAGAAAACACAAACATAAGTCTGAAATGACAGGACAAAGACAATACAAGATTTGAGAAAGGAATTCAACAGGCATAGAAATACTGAAGAGACCTCAAGCTGAAATGAAGATAGAATTGAAAAATTTAACACAATTAGAAAACTCAGAAGAAAGCCTTATAAGTAAAATTGATCAAATATAAGACATACGATTAGAACCTAAAGACAAACTAGGGGAATAAGACATGCCAGGCGGTGGTGGCGCACGCCTTTAATCCCAGCACTCGGGAGGCAGAGCCAGGCGGATCTCTGTGAGTTCGAGGCCAGCCTGGTCTACCAAGTGAGTTCCAGGAAAGGCGCAAAGCTACACAGAGAAACCCTGTCTCGAAAAACCAAAAAAAAAAAAAAAAAAAAAAAGACAAGCAAAGAATAGGAAGAAAGCAGAAACACAAAACAAAACAGGAAAGAAACTGGGACTCCATGAAAAGACCAAATCTTTGACTTAAAGGCACAGATGATCCCAGGTCAATGGCTTTTGAACAATGATGTTCAAAAGAAAACTTTCAAACTAAGGAAAGATATACCCAGACGATCTAAGAAGCACAGCTAATACCAAATAGAGAAGACCATAAGCAATACTCCCCACAACATATCACAGTTAAAACACTTAAACAGAACAAAGAAAGAGTATTGAAAGCTCCAAGAGGAAAATCCTAAGTCACATAAAAAGGAAAACCCATCAGAATAACAGCTGATTTCACAATGGAAACTTTGAAAGCCAAAAGAGCAATGTACGCCAAGTTCTACAAAACCACCTACATAGACTACTGTACCCAGCAAAGCCATCTGTCATGGTTGAAGGAGAAAGAAAAACTTTCCACAACTCAAATAGGCTAAAAGAGTTCATGTCCAGAAAAGCCAAGCCTAAAGAGAATACTGGAAACAATACTTCTTAGTGAAGAACAAGCATAGCCAAGAGACCCTAGAAAGAAGACAAATGAAACTGCAATTAATAAAATACTAAATACAACTAAGAACACAAATACCAAACCAAACAAAAACAAAAACCAACAAAACAACAACAAAAATCAACAAAATGACAGCAACTAATACACACCTTTCAATAATTTTAAATATTAATAGCCTCAACTCTCCAATCAAAAGACACAGGCTGGCTGAATGAATTAAGATACAAAGTCCATCTTTCTGTTGTTTACAAGAAACTCAGCTTTAAAGATAGGGATCATCTTAAAGCGGAAGGATGGAAAAAGTATTCCAAGCAAAAGGAACAGGAAGCAAGTAGGTGTTACTGTCTTAACATCTGACAAATAGACCTCAAACAGAAACTAGTCAAAAGAGATAATAAAGGGCACTGCCTTAGGTAGGGTTTCTATTGCTGTGAAGAGATACCATGACAATGGCAGCTCTTATAAAGGAAAAGTATTTAATTGGGGTGACTTATATTTTCAGAGGTTTAGTCCTTATCATCATAGCATGCAGGCAGACAAGGTGCTAGAGAAGGAGCTGAGAGTCCTTTACCCACAGGCAACAGAAAGTGGTCTGAGACACTGGGTGTACCTTGAACATAGAAGACCTCAAAGCCACCCCTACAGTGAGAAACTTCCTCCAACAAAGCTACACCTCCTAAGAGCGTCATTCCCAATAAGCTTATGGGGGTCAACTACATTCAAACTACCATAAACACTTCATTTTAATCAAGGGAACAGTTAACCAAAAAAGATATTACTATCTTAACATATATGTACTGAAATTGGTACACCCAATTTCATGTGTACTACTAGAATTAAAAGCACAGATTAATATCAACCCATTAATAGTAGGTAATTTCAATACCCTTCTTCCTCTAATAGACTGATCATCTGGACAAAAGATAAACAGAGAAACATCAAAAACAAATAATATTATATATCCAATGGACTCATTCCACCCAAATACCAAAGAATATGTATTCTACTCAGCAGCCCATGGAAGGTTCTCTATAATAGACTATATCATGGAATACAAAACAACTCTTTTGGTTTTTCAAGACAGGGTTTTTCTGTGCAGCTCTGGAGCCTATCCTGGAACTCACTCTGTAGCCCAGGCTGGCCTCAAACTCACAGAGATCCGCCTGGATCTGCCTCCCGAGTACTGGGATTATAGGCGTGCGCCACCATGCCCAGCTAACAAAACAATTCTTAACAAATTCAGATGTATCTTACCTGACCCTAGTTAAATAAAAGCTAAAATCAATAACAAATAAATCTTCAGTAAGTACACAAACTCATGGAGAGTAAACAACTCATTACTGGAGTGATTAATGGGTCAAAGAAGAAAATAAGAAAGAAAAAAAATTCTGTTACTAAAAGAAAATAAAACCACAATGCAACAAAATCTCTGGGAGACAAAAGCTGTCCTGCAAGGGAGATTTATAGCCCTAAGTGCCTTCATAACAAAATTATAAAGAACACAAATAAATGACTTAATGATGCAACTAAAAATTTTGGAAAAAATGATAAATCCAGTAGATGGCCAGACATAATAAAAACCAGAGTAGAAACCAATGAAATTGAAGCAAAGGAAACAATACAAAGAATCAACAAATCTAAGAGCTGGTTCCATGAGAAGATAAACAAGTTGACTGATCCTTGGCTTGCTTAACTAACCAAAAGAATAAAAGAGAAGACCCAAATTAACAAAATCAGAACTAAACAGGGAAATATTACAACAGACATAAAAGAAATTCAGATAAGGGAATAATTAAAACACCCATATGCCATTAAGTTGGAAAATCTAAAAGAAATGGATGAATTTCTAGATTCACCCAAACTATCAAAGTTATAGCAATCTAAACAGATCCATAACAAATGAGACTGAAAAAGTAATAATAAGGCTTCTGTTGGGGAAAAAAAAAAAGAGCCGGGCTGTGGTGGCTCACGGCTTTAATCCCAGCACTCGGAGGCAGAGCCAGGCGGATATCTGTGACTCTGAGGCTAGCCTGGTCTACAGAGCAAGATCCAAGACAGGTACCAAAACTACACAGAGAAACCCCGTCTTGAAAAAAACAAAACAAAACAAACAGAAAAAAAGCCCAGGCCCAGATGAATTCACAGAAGAATTTCACCATTTTCAAAGATCTGAGTCAATCTTCTTAAAATTTTAAAGAATAATAGAAACAGGAGTACTCCCAAACACCTACTATGATGGATGCCAGTATCATTCTAATCCCAATGCCAGATAAAGGCATAACAGAAAAAGAAATCTACAGGCCAATATCCCTGATGAAAATAGATAAAAAAAAAAAAAAAACTTCAATAAAATACTTGCAAGCTGAATATTTGCAAGACAGATATATATCAAAAAGATTATCCACCATGACCGAGTTGGCTTTATATTAGATGCAGGGATGGTGCAACATATGCAAACCAATAAATGTAATGAGTAACGTAAGGAGACTTAAAAAGAAAAAACATATGATTAGTACACAATTAGTAAATTGAGAAAAAGCTTTTGAAAAAAAAAAACCCAAGATGCCATCATGATAAAAATCCAAGAGAGATTTTTATCTCTTATATACTAGAGGGAATATATCAATATAATAAAAGCTTTATGTGACAAACCCAGCCAACACCATCCTAAATGGAGAAAAACTTGAAGCAATTCTATAGAAATAAGGAACAAGACAGGGCTGTTCATTATTCCCACTTTTTTTCAATATTGAGCTTGAACATTAGCTGGAGCAATAAGGCAAAAGAAAGAAATTCAATGGATACAAATAAGAAAAGGAGAAGTCAGCCAGGTGGTGGTGGTGCATACCTTTAAGTGGTATTAAAGGCAGGTGAATCTCAGAATTCTAGGCCAGCTTGGTCTACAAAGTGAGTTCCAGGACAGCCAGGGTTACTCAGAGAAACCCTGTCTCAAAAAAACAACAAACAAAACAAAACTAAAAGAAGAAAAAAGTAAAAGTAGGGGGAAAGTCTCAGCTTAGAAAATCTTCCCAGAAACTGCTAGCTTCACTCCTTGTGGAATTATTCTATTAATGGCATTGAACTGTCTATATACGTTTTGAAGAAAGCTGCAGTAAAAAGAGGTAGCATATCAAGGGGGTCGGACGTTTACCCTACTTTGCCACTTTATCACAATAAAGGTCCAAAAGTTATTTTTTTGTAGATGGGTGTAGTGGCTCTCACCTACAGTCCCTGCACTGGGGAGCATGGGCCATACATACAGTGAGATTCTGTCTCAGAGACAAACATTTCAAACTAATGGGTGCGGTGTGAAGCATAGAACTGGCATTCAATAAATACCCGGTCAATTAGCATGAATACCTTCTGTTTCTTTTTCAGTCTTTTCTTCTCTTTCTTCTTCTCTAAGAATTGTTCCCAAGGGGTCAGTTTATCCTTTCCCTCCAACTTGTTTTTGACCATCTCTTCTGCACTCTCCTTAAGGCCTGGAAAGGAAAAATTGTTTAGTTGAAAATGGTGATATTCAGTCAGTTAAAAGCTTACAAAAGCAGAAAGAGACATACATAATTTATGTAAGTAGGCATATCCAACAATGAATACCTGCAATATTAAGGCCACAAAATGACAGGTAACCAATTTCCAGAGGGGAGGGGGAGAGACAGAGAGGAAGGGAGAGGGAGGGAGAGGGAGGAAATATATTAGTCAGACATGGTGGTTTACCTACAATCCCAGTACTTCAAGGTTGAGTTTAAGTTCAAATGGGCTATATAATAGAAATACTGTCTCAAAACAAACAAACAAAATTTAAAAAATAAAGGAAAAAGGAACCCAAATATTTACTTAGGTCGAAACTTCCTCTCTCTACACTTGTTTTGAGCCTCTAAGAAGAATTCCTGCTTCTCTGCCTTTTGGTGAAGACTTGAGTGAAGAAAAATTCTGAAGCAAAAACACAAGCTACAACTACTAACTCATTAAGCAAAATCATCTCTAGTTTTTCTTGTCACTCGAATGAAAGCCTGTGTTCCCTGAGCACTGTGACCAACAAAAACTGGAGAACAAATCCTCGAGTCACTGCTTAAGTATTCTCCAAGGCTATAGAGTTAAGAACCAAAGGGCCACCAGCTTCCCTCGACTCTACATGGCTTGGTTCTTCAATGCTGTTATTTGTTTTCATGGTTCATCTCTAAAGCTTTTGCTCCTATATTCTGCTCTTGACTCATCTATCCTTTGGCCATTAAACTAGAAATTTTAAGGTATTTAGCAATTAGAATAATTTCTAGGATTGTTTTTGCATTTATAGCATTTTGAATGTGTTTGGGAAGATGAATTAGATCACTCACCTCTTTTCTCAAATGACCATTTTGATCATTCCACTCACTGTTACATTTTATTTTGTTTATATGGAAACAGGTTTGCACTATGCAGAATTGGAAGGCTGGGCTGGTCCCCAACTTACTGTGTAGGCCAGACAGGCCTTGAACTTGTGGTGTCCTCTTGGCCCTGCCGCCTGACAGACGGGATTATAAGTGTGTGCCACCATGCCAAACCATTTGCTATTTTTAAAAGATGGATTTTGTGTCATATAAATATTTAAAACTCCACATCTAACTATGTCCTTCAAAATTTCTAACAAAAGTAGATGAATAAATAAATACCATCATCTTCAAAGAAGACAGAAATGTAGTTATATATTTTTTACTCTGGTAGTAGTAATGACCTTGGCCAGCTTAGGCTTTAACACCTATTCATTCAAATTTACCTTTGGTCTCAGGATACAAAATAAATCTGGTAGAGATTAGATGGATGCAAACCTTCCCTCCCACATATACTTCCCTCCCTTTGAACTTCAAAATACTTGGTAGATGTTAAAATATATAGAACTAGTAACAACAGTGCTGTGAGTGCTAAAGACCAGGTTGAAACAGGTGAGTGCTAAGGTCCATTTCCTGGCTGTTAGGCAAATACTTAATCTCCAAATTTCCAAGACTTAGAAAAGTATTAAATTATATATAAAATACTGAGGGTAGGAGCTCTGATTTGTTAGATGCAAAAAAAAAAAAAAAAAAAAAGAAACACAAACTTCAATTAAAAAATATATCTGGGGTTGGAGAGATAGCTGAGAAGTTAAGAGCACTGATTGCTTTCAGAGGACCTAGGTTTGATTCCCAGCACCCACATGGTGGCTCAAAACCACCTGTAACTCCAGTTCTAGGTATCCAATGCCCTTTTCTGTCCTTTGTGGGCACCAAGCATGCCCTGAGTTCCTATTACACAAGCAGATAAAAGACTCATACACATAAAAGAAATCACTAAAACTCATTCTTTATGAGAAAAACATTTTATATTAGTACTCAGTTTTTAGAAGATATGTGAATGATACAGTCATATACAGATCTTCAAATGAACCAGTAATGTACCTAGGGAATGTAAGATGAGATCCTCATATAGGAGAAGGCAGTAAATTCTGATAAAACAAGTTGATTTCACATAACAAGATAGAGTAATATATATAATGCACACAGATCAGCATATAATCACTCTAACCTCAAACTTCATAGATATACTATTATATTATTAGATGACAGTTAAATCTTTAAAATCTTTTGTTTTTATTTTTTTGAGACATAGTTTGCCCTAGAACTCATGATGTGAATTCACAAAGATCCACCTGCCTTTGCCTCTCAAAAGCTGGGAATAAAGGTATGTGCCACCATGCCCGTGGCTAGAGGTAATTTCTGAAAAGGGGTTATGTGATTATTTGCATCATGTAAGTAAGATGTCATTTTATTTGGTACTTGAATATATAGTTCTTTTTCCTAAGTTCTTTCACATTCCATAATATTTAGCACAGTCCCAAACACACACTAAGTACTTAATAAACACGTCTTGAACTATTTGAAGGAAGGATTATTTCCTGCCAAGTGTTTGATCTTTGATGTTTAGAACATATTATTTCCAATAGAAAATGAATCAAAACTTTAAGTTCCAAATGGCTTCTGTCTCTAACTGGTTCACATGAACCACTAGTTCTAGAATAATGCATGCATTATTTATCCTTAGGAAATAATATTTCTCTGGAACTTTGTTTCTAGCAATAAAGAAATAATATCTTGAGTTCAAGTCAGTCTGTAGTTTCCTTTGCCTGGCTCTCACTTACTATACCAAAATAGAAGACTGACAAACACATTGCAGTGAATTAACACACCACCACAGTAACTTAAAAATGCTTTGTTCTCATTGTCATCATGAGGTCATTTAAATCTCTTGCCACAGATTACAGTTGTTTATGTTCTGAATTCTTAAAAATATGCCCATCTCAGAAGTCTCTTGGCAAATGCACAAGAACATTCTTCAGAGTCGGTTTAGCCTCATTTAAGAGAAGACACGATGTGACTGAAAAACAACTTCATTGTAACTGCTTTTAGTTTTGTACAAATTGGTTAAAAAAAATCTTTAAGCATATGTCCACAGACTGATAAAGATATCAATAATCCCACAAATAAGGGGTAAAGCCCCTTCTAAAGCGAGCCACAACTACAGATGATTCAATATGGCAATAATAATTTAATAAGCACAATCTATTCAGAATCATTTTGGCAGTTTCTGTGCATACAAAAAGACTCATAAATATTCTCACAAAATCTATAAGAAGAATATACATTCCTCCTGACCTTATCCATATGAAATATTTGAAGTCTTCAAAGGATATGAATGTTTTAAAACAACTCAACTAGGTACTATTACAGGCTTTGTTTATAAAAACAAAATGCAGGTTTTAAGAGTTCTCATATAGGTCAAAACTGGCACTTTTTACTTAAATAAAGGCTTAGGACTCACTGGGAGTATTTATGAACACTTACATATCAATCTCTTAAAATTTTTGTGTGTGTTATAAATTAGACTATGTGGCACTCAATTCCAAACGCTTTTAAAATGTTACTAACTACCGTCACTAACACCAAAACTCCAAATGTGGAACTCATTCTGGATACTGGGTTTTATAGAGGAAAACCACCAGTCATGTCCTGAGGAGCACTGCCATCAAGGCACCTCTTCAAAATAGCATATTACTCCCGAAAGTGTTAGGACAAGGAAGGACACATTTACTCACGTAACTAGGGTCAAAGGGACACCTAGTCCAGAATAGTAGCTAGTGCGAGTCCTACAGCACACATCTTATAAACGTCTATAGAATAAGAAAGCAAGGGAAGGGAAAAGTGACTCAAATCTGTTTCACCCCACTGACTGGGAGCAACAACACATGGAATTGGAAAGTAAAATAAAAACTAGTTCTGCAATAATAGCAAATAGCTAATGCTGTCAGTCAATCAAAGTCAACAAATGTTCTCTGGCTGTACTCAATACTATTAGAATCCTGTTACATTTACTATGTGAAAACAACAAAGATAAAATAAGGATAATAAGGATAAGTCTAAGAAAGATGCTCAGACTGGGAATTTCTACTCACCTAACAATTGTGTCTCCCCCCAAAACATTTAATAAATATTCACAGATGTGCCCAAAGTACTCATTGAATAGATGTTACTTTTTGTTGTTATTGTCTAAAGTTATTTCACTTTAGACAATAACAACACTGGTAGAAAATGCTTTACATATGTCTAGAACTTAAGTTATCTTTCTCTAACCTTTTCTAAATGCCCTTTCATTCTCCCTTAAAACAATAATGGCTTCCACTTCCAAGGGTATTAACTTTACTACACATCAAACTGTCCCCTAGGCCTGCTTCTTAGAGTTCAATGTTCTTAAAACACTGACTTCAAATACAAGACATGTGGGCCTCATTAGGGAGCTATTGTTTCTTGTATTTGTCTCATGTTTATTTGTATGTTTTCCTTGCCTTCCAAGCAGCTTGTAATCACAGTAACATACTACCAAGATAGCCTCATATTTGCAGACTAACTTCTGGCCAAGTCTGGGAAAGACAATCTGCTAATTTATTGATGGCAAAGACTAAGAAATTATTTGTTCTATTGTGACTTTTATACATTTATTGGCAAGGTAGAAAATGAATGAAATCTTTTACATGAATGACTAAGATACAAAGAAAAAGAATTCCTGAGTCAAGTCTCAACAAGGAAGCCCAAACAGAAATATTAAACTAGTTCAGAAGCAGGGAGTTTTCCTTGGGGATACATACTAAGCTAATATGTCTAGTATGGATTTGGGGTTGTAATGGGCTGCTAGCCAAGGAGGCAGGGGACAAAGTTTGGAGTCTGATCATGGTGGGAGGTCCTGGGATCTTTAAATGTGCCCCCACTAGATGATGACCCTCCCCCTACAGTTCAGGGGGAGTACATGCAGATCAGGGGGAGTAAAAATACAGTTTCCTTAGAGACTTTGTAACCACAAGCCCACAAAGCCACGGACTTGTAGCTGGAATTCACACTACTTGTGTGGTCCCAAATACACCAACTCAAAAATTCGATAGGTCTTGGATTAGAAATGCCCCAGGCACCTGACAAAT